GGGATAATAATCAATGTAATGAAACAAGCTATATGAATGGTTGAATGTGAAGCTGATGATGTGCCCTGTAAACTTTCACTCAATGCAAAATAAAAACATTTAGTTTAAAAAAAAAAAAAGAAATATATCCATCTCTTCAACTTTTTCTATTTTGTTGTATACAACTCTTCATAATATTCTGTTATTATCCTTTTGATTTCCTTTGGTTCTGTAGTGACATTGTCCCTGTGGTTTCTAATGCGAGTTATTTGTATCCTCTCCCTCTTTTCTTTAGTTAGTTTTGACAATGGTTTGTCAATATTATTAATCCTTTCAAAATACCAGCTTCTTGTCCTGTTGATTCTTTCTGTAGTTTTCCATCTCATTTATTTCTGTTCTTATCTTTATTATTTCTTTTCTTTTGATGACTCTAGATTCCCTCTGTTAGTCTGTTTCTAATTGTTGGACATGATGTGTTAATGTGTTAATTTTAGTTCTTTCCTCTGTTTGGATGTGTGCAATTATCTCTATATATTGTCCTGTCAGCACTGCTTTCACCATGTACCAAAATTTTGGGATTTTTTTTTTTTTCATTCTCATTTCTTTTGATGAATTTTGTGAATTTATGTTTTATTTCTTCTTTTACCCAGTCACTTTTCAGGAGAGTGTTATTCAGTTTCCATGTATTTGACTTTATTTCCTTGGTCTTCTGATTGTTGATTTCTAGTTTTATAGCCTTGTGGTCTGAAAAGATGCTTTGTAGTATTTTGATGTTTGTAAATTTATGGAGGCTTGATTTGTGACCTAACACATGGTCAATTCTGGGAAATGTTCCATGTGCACTATAGAAGAATGTATATTGTGCTGTTGTTGGGGTTGAATACTCTGTACACATCTGTGAGGTCAAGTTGGTTGATTGTGATGTTTAGTTTCTCGTTAACTTTGTCAAATTTCTTTCTGGTTGTTCTCTCCCTTTTCAAAAGTGGTGTATTAAAATCTCCCAATATAATTGTAGATTTATCTATTTCTTTCTTCAATTCTAGTAAGGTTTCTTCATATATATTGGTGCTGTTTCATTGGAAGCATAGATATTTATTATGTCGTCTTGTTCAATTGACCCTTTGATCATAAGATAGTGTCATTCTTTGTCTCTTATGCTGGTTTTTGTCTTAAAGTTTACTTTATCGTAGATTAGTATTGCCACTTCTGCTTGTTTATTATTGCAGTTAGTTTGGTATATTTTTTTCCATCCTTTAACTGTTCTTATCTTTGTGTGTAAGGTGTGTCTCTTGCAGGCAGCATATTGAATGGTCTTGTTTTCTTATCCAATCTGCAACTCTCTATGTCTCTTCACTGGGGCATTCAACTGATATTCAATGTAATTACCAATGGGTATGAATTAATGCTGCCATTATGTTAATTTTTTGGTAGTGTTGTTTGTTCCTTTGTTCTGTATGCCTTGTACTGAGTTTGTGTATTTTGTCCTCTTTCTTCTCAGTTTCTTCTTAGTTTTCATGTTCTGCTTGAAAGTTCATTTTCAGAGTAAATTGTGAAGTATTAACTTTCTTTGGGGTTACCTTATAGTCTATTTAACTTTTCTCTCCATTTAAGAATATATATTGTATCCTTTAATCTACCTGACATCCTCATCACCTGGATCTCTGCTGCTATGTTTATCCCTTTTTTGAAATTGATATAATTTTCCTGTTGACTGCCTTTACAGCTCCCTTCAGAGTATTTTTAGCAGGTGTTGGTTGTAGATGCTGCTCTGGTGTATGTTGTTGTTGTTATGTACTGTGGAGTCGGTTCCGACTCATAGTGACCCCGTACAGGGTTTCCGAGGCTGTAAATCTTTATGGGAGCAGAAAGCCTCATTTTTCTCCCATGGAACCGCTGGTAGTTTCGAACTGCTGACCTTGAGGTTCACAGCCCGATTCATAACCACTACACTACCAGAGCTCCTTATAGCAGCTGGTATTGGCTTTGCCCTATTGGTGGGATTTTACAGAGTGTCATTGTAGTGTGGCTGTATGGTCCCAGTTGCTGTCTCTTTTCAGGTAAGTCACAAAGAAAAACACTCCCACAAAATAGAAGCTAGGTTGAAATTCAAGACTAAATACCGAAGTTAAATGTCATACAAAGCCGGGGAGTGGGGTGGGGAATATATGCAAAGCTAGGAAATCTAAAAAAAGACAAAGAGAAAAAGAGAAATCACAGGAAAATGAGTAATTCTATAGCACAACCTAATGGACTCTTGCCTTCAATTATGACTGAGATATCCCATGATTTTCCTGCTGTGTCAATGTGATTTGACCCAGGCCATCCTTTTTCCTCCTCCACTCAAGTCTGTTTAGCTGTCTCCCTTAGTGAGAACCAGCTCAGGGCTGGCCAGATTCACTTTGGAAGAGATTCCTGGATCTGTTTCTTTCTTCTGTCTCCTATGTCTGGTGCAAATCCTTCCCTCGATCAGTGCAGAATAGTACCCGTTGCTCTGTGCATTGCAAAACCTTATGCACGTGACATAGGACTTTCCCTTGGGGTGTGTACTTGTGCAAGTCTCCCCTCTAGGTACCAGTATGGAGATGAATAGACATGTTAAAAGAAAAGGCATGGAAGAGGGAGAAGACACAAATAACATGCATTAGAAACCACATGGGAGATGTCACAATGGAACCAAAGGAAATCAAAAGGATAATAACAGAATACTATGAAGAGTTATACTCCCAACAAATTTGAAAACTTACAAGAGATGGAAACATTTTTAGATAAACACGACCTACCTAAACTTACACAAAGTGAAGTAGAAAACCTGAACAGACCAATAACAAAAGAAGAAATAGATCAGATCATCAAAAGACTCCCAACCAAAAAAAGCCCAGGCCCAGATGGCTTCACTGGTGAATTCTACCAAACATTCAGGGAAGAGCGGTCACCTCTTTTACTCAAATTATTCCAAAATACAGAGGAGGGTGGAAAAGTTCCTAATACATTTTATGAAGCAACTGTAACCCTCATACCAAAAGCAGGGAAGGACGCCACTAAGAAAGAAAACTACAGACCAATATCCCTCATGAACACAGATGCAAAAATTCTCAACAAAATCCTAGCAAACAGACTCCAGCAACACATCAAAAAGATATTACAGCTCTTTGAGGAAGACACAGTCGCAGCTGCAGGTTTCCTCGCTCGGCCGCTCCTGCTCCTGACTCACCGCTGTTCGCTCTTGCCGAGGAACAAGTCGGTCAGGAAGCCGTGCCGCCGCCATGGCTTTTAAGGATACCAGAAAGATGCCCATGGAACCAGAGGTGGCCATTCACTGGATTAGAATTACTCTAACCAGCCGCAACGTGAAGTCGCTGGAGAAAGTATGTGCTGACTTGATTAGTGGTGCAAAGGACAAGAACCTGAAAGTGAAGGGCCCAGTTAGGATGCCTACCAAGACTCTGAGAATCACAACAAGGAAGACACCTTGTGGTGAATGTTCTAAGACCTGGGACCGCTTCCAGACGAGAATCCATAAGCGACTCATTGACTTGCACAGTCCTTCTGAGATTGTTAAGCAAATCACTGCCATCAGTATTGAGCCTGGAGTAGAGGTTGAAGTCACCGTTGCAGATGCTTAAGTCAACTATTTTAATAAATTGAGTATCCATTGGTTAAAAAAAAAAAAAAAAAAAGATAATACATCATGATCAAGTGGGGATTCATATTAGGTATGCAAGGATGGTTCAACATTAGAAAAAAATCAACATCATCCACCATATAAATACGAAAAAAGAAAAGAACCACATGATCATATCGATTGATGCTGAAAAAGCAATTGACAAAAATCCAACATCCATTTCTGATAAAAACACTCAACAAAATAGGAATTGAAGGGAAATTCCTCAGCATAATTAAGAGCATATATACAAAACCAACAGCCTACATCACGCTCAATGGAGAGAAATTGAAAGCCTTCCCTCTGTGAACAGGAACCAGACAAGGATGCCCTTTGTCACCACTCCTATTCAATATTGTGCTAGAAGT